TATATTATTTTTAAGCGGTTTAAATAAATAATATGCAAAATATACCAACTGATCTGCTTGTTTCGATTCCCTGTTCTGTTTTTTTTTCCGTTCTATTTATCATAATCAGTAATTTGCTGCAGTAGCAGTAGCAATTTAATAAGATAAAAGAAAAAAATAAAAAATAAACGAGTTGATGTAATTACTTAAATACAGTTATCTCAAAGTTATACATTAATTTGCCGTTTCTTTCTCTTTTTCTTATTGTACCATTAATTAGCCAATTTATTTTGGATATTTTAATCTAATTTCATTACATGCATCATCAATTGTTTAACTGCTCAAAGAATTAATAGCAAACCAAACAATTAAAACATACAAACTTTTTTGCGGTTCTTCTACTTTTGCTTGAAAAAAAAAAACTAAAAAATTTTAAATTAAATTCAAGTACTTTTCATTAACAAAATAGCAATATGCAGAAAAATAAAGTAGCAACTTTTTTTCCCAGTTTTTACTTCCACTCATTTCCTCATCCGTTCCCAATAAATTTACAACAAAGTTTTTAAAAACTACTTTGTTGGAATCATTTTTTTAAGCTGCTCTTTTTGAACACCGTTTTTTTCCAGGCAACTTTTTTCCCCGTCTGCTTACATAACTGATGAAATACAAAAACTGAACGAGGAACTAAACTGTTCAGTCAAACGATTCAGACGACCACAACAGCTGTAAACTGAGTCGATGTTTTTCAGAAGTTTATTTCGGGAATCCTTGTTTTTTCAACGCTTTTTTTAATTGAAGAGTTCAGCAGACAGAGAGAGAAAGAAAAGTAAAAAAAGCATCGAAAAGTTGAAAAGTTCAGTAAAGTAACAGTAAAATAAGTTACAGTAAAAATTCGTCCAGCATACAGTTTTACCATAGTTTCTAATGATATCTTTTAAAAGTTATATACCAAAATAGCAGCCAAAAAAAGAAAAAAGAAAACGAAAAAAAATTTGAAAGAAATGTTATAGAATAAGTTTGACATTTTTTGAGCAAAGA